TATTATCAATGCGTTTCGCTTGGTTTTTGGTTAACACCTAAACATACTTAATGGCCATCGAAAAATCCTTGGGCGCGCTCGGCGGGACGTCGTCGACGTCTACCCTTGGAACAACTACGAGCGCACTCAATATCCATTCGGCCGCGAAGAATATATCAATGTAGTACAATAGCCATAGTATTGTCGTTCTCACGTGTTCGCGTACGTTTGTGGTTCCCACGTTTGATGGTGCGAATTCGAAACTTGGAGACCTTCCGCCGAACGGGGTTAACCTACTATATATATATATATGAAGGTACTTAACAATTTCGTTTTAGTGTTATTATATGTTTTTCTATGACTAAACTCGTCCTCGAGATAATAGCTGTATTACTATAGTTGTCCATCGACGACGTATTATATTAAATACAAAATACATTAACATAAACTATAAAAGTTTAATACTTCGAATAGATAAAATTCAGATAATTTTATTATATAATATAAATAATTATTAATTTTCACGATGACGATAATGATGACCGTGGCCCATTGGGAAGAACCCGGTGATAGGCCTCTCGTGTTGTATCGTGGAAGCAGATTACATTAAATCATACTAATGACATGTTATTAACTATTGTAAATTTTCGTAACTAATGATTTAGTCCATGYACGATATTATACATTATATTAATATAAATGGGTGATTAGAGTATTAATTACTAGTCTTAATTTTTTATTTTGTTTTTGGCCAAAATATAAATTTGTATTAAAATGCACTTACATTATATAAGTACAGGTACGTACAATAGTCATGTATCCTATATAATTATAAGGGCTTATTCGCTTATTGTATACATTTAGCCAAAATAGGTAGACTCTTGAGGCTTGGATAGTTGTATACTCAACCTACTATTACCCGACTACCAGAACTATGATTAGTCGCCTAGAACAGAAATATTGTCCATAACACTCATAAAGTCATAACAGTATAATATTGTACATTATAATAYTATATATTCAGCTAAGACGTAAGTTTATGATGTATCTATTTTAGATTTTAAATAAATTTAGGTGTACCTTTATGACCGGACATTTTCTAGGGAAATAGTTTAAATCTTTTTGTGTATGTAAATACATTTGTCATATGTAGTATACATGTAATATACTATATAATATGTAATAAACACTAAAATAGTAAAATATTACAATCAACGATTTTTCTTTCTTGAAGACGTTTTTAGATATCGCATTCAWAAATACCTACCTAAGTATGAACAGTCCGACATATTATATTGTATATGTATAGATCATAGGTGTACAATAGTAATATTAATTAAAGTCGCGGAGGCAGGAATTATGTAGCAGTCGCATCAAAATATACGGTTCGTAGATTCGTATAATAGTTGCTATACGTTGTCGTCGTCGCCGCAATATAATAAGTATTATGCGATGACCATCGTCGTGGTCACTCGATTAGCATAATGTGAATATATTCTGGATTCAGACCTACATATACATGTGTGTATACATTTCGATTTCAAGTATAAAAAATATATATACCAGTAGGCCGTGGTCGCAGAGGTGGTAGTGGCGGAGAGCGAGCTGGTAAAACGCAAAAAACTGCTGAAACCGAAACCGAAACCGCCGTCGTTTGAATCGGTGCGCCCGCCACGCGCGACCTAGGGCGTGTCGTCCCCTCTCCACAAAGACGTGATCCCGTCGTTTTCAAGATAATATAACATAACAAACAAAACCACAGAAAACAGTGAGAACGCCAAATACCGAAGAGCCAACGTGCCGTCGCGTTGGTCTGCTACTGCTGTATTTCCGTCTCGTCTTATTTTTCCGCTATTTTTTTTGCCAATTTTCCTCCTAATATTCAGCTCGTGATTTGTGTTAACTGTGTTTGTGTCATTAATATTCTCGTAGATAGTCGTGGTTGTCCGCGCGCTCCTAGTTTGTCTGTCCGAGTGATGTGAGAACGTCACTACGCCTATTAATTCTCCGCGAAGAGAGGTTTTTCATTTTCGTATCCCAAACGCTATCTCGATTACTCACGTAGGTACATATCGAACTTAACTTTTATTTAATCGCAATTAATATTGTTACCTTTGTTCTGCATTTAATGTTTGTGTATTTTAAGATTGACTTTAAAATGCTAAAAAAAAAATGTTTAACATTGCTTTTCGCACTAATTTAGGTTTGTGTTGTGAGTGTGGCATGCCATTAACAGTTTTTGATTAACTCCAATCATACAACGCTTACCAGCACGATGCCAGGGTCAACCGTTTCCGACAATGACCTGAGGTACACTTATGGCATAATCGTTAAATTATTACCAACTCTATTTTCATGTACCATCATGTTTATTGTTATTGCTACTGTCTTCAATATAATTTTATGCATATGTCCTCGTTTACTACTGCACCTATGACAAATGCTATTATGTATCCTAAGTACACTTATAGTGCAATTCATATTGATGTTTCTTTTGTTTATGACTTAGTAATAATTGAATCATTAGTAAAAYGTAAATGAAAAATAATTATCTGAATGAATCATTTTGTAATTCTATGTAGATTATTTCATGATATATTACCCTATAGAAGTCAAGAACTTCCATTAACTTATCACATTACCCACTTGCTGTTTACATGTATATCTTTTTTTCCGTATTTTTTGGTAACTCAAAATGTAATTGTAGCTCTAATTGTATTATTTTTCTACAAAAGTAGCTAGTTTAATTCGGTACTCATGTGTACTGTCTATAATTATTAGAACTTAGTTCTTTTCAGATATAAATGGCAAACAGTTACTTATATGAAATAWGAATAGCTTATTGCATGTATTTATTATAAAAACATAATATTATACTTTTGACATATTATATGTATTACCTATTACTTATCATATTTTTTATTTCTGTTAGTGTGATTTTACTTATTACATAATTGATGTAAGGTAGATTGATATTTGTAATAAATTATGCTAAATAATCAACTCAATATTTTTTTTATAAAATCATCCAACTTAATAATATATAAGTAAAATGATAAACAAACTATATTTTTAGTCCCCTTACAGTTCATTACGGTTCATTATTACCATTTCTTATCTAATTTATTATTGGTAGCTCATAAATAAATAATGAATCAACTAAGCATTCAATAATACAACTATTAGGAGGTACCTACTTCTTTAGTTTTACAATTTGCATTTAGTACTCATTATTATACTTGTAATTAGAAGTATAACTATAATTTTGAACCTTTCATAGAAAAAAAGTTATTTGGATGGTAATATTACCTGTATAATATATTAATATTCTATCTATACCTACATGGTATAGAATGTATGTTTTTATTTGTCGTACAATTTAACTTAAAAAATTAATTTAAAGAATTTGATTGTATTGTACCTTGTAAATTATGCACTATGAATTTAAAAATGAATTTAAATAATTATACAGTAATTATATCTGACAATAATAATTTCTAACTATAAAATTATAGGTTAATACTTCTTTTAGTTGGTAATAAGAATAACTAATAACTTAAAATTAATTATAAGTGATTTAACAATTAAACTGATTGATTTAATTTATTATGGTGTTTTATTAATACTAATAAAATTACAATTGAATAAAATTAAAAACAAATTCAAATGTTAGATAGAATTTCTAATCTCATTAACAAAGCTCTCAAATATTTATAGTTACTATAAATATATTATGTTTGATATTATATAATGTTATTACCTCTCTTCAAACTTAAAACTTATAATTATAAATATTAAGTATATTAAACTTAATACCTACCTAATTTAATATTTTTTAATTAAAAATATTGACATTAAATATCTATTGTAGGCTATTAATTAATTTTTTTATACTGTATTGACATAGAAAAATATTTGTTTTTGTAGAATGAAAAAGCGTAGTTTGGCTGGTAACGTAGCCCTTGGCTTGTACGTTTTGGCTTTAGTGTTTGTGTTCATTTCATTTTTTTCGACCAGCTGGTTAGTCAGTGATGGGAGAATTACAGGTATTTAATTTTTAACCTTTTTATTTTTATAACGTTTCATTTTTATATTTTTTAAACTTTAATTTAGGTGCAAAATTAGAAAGTTTTGGATTATGGACTCATTGTTTTCGTTCACTACCTGATCCTAATGACCCGGCGGAACGAAGGTTTTTTGTTGGATGCCATTGGATTTTTGATCCTTTCACTAAGGGATATGATGAAATCAAAGGATTTTTGTTACCATGTAATTAAATTAATATTGTACAGTTTCTCAACATCCTAAATTCTTCAATGTATGTTTTTTTTAGTTTACATAGTGGCAACTCAGTTCTTTTACACAATTACATTCCTAGGAACGTTAGCTTCGGCTGTTGGTTCATCAATGTTTCTTCTTTGTTGTACACCTGATGAAAAACGTTTTATACAAATAACTTTTGCATTGGGAGTAACTCTAATTGTATCTGGTAAATTCAATCTTTATAAATTGCTATAAATATTTATACTTTGTTACTATACAAACATATTTTWATTTTAGGTGTATGTGCTGCAATATCAGTGCTAATATTTGCCTTGTTTGCCAACCGTCCAGGTTGGATGCCTGGCCACGACAATAACTTCTTTGGTTGGGCATTTGGTGTGGCTATTGCAAGTTTCTTTGCTTTACTTGGATCTGGAGCATTTTATTTGGTAGAAACAAATATACAAGTGAAGAAAAGAAAATATTTGAAAGAATCACAAACTAAGTTTGACATGGAATCCAAAGGATAAAATGAAATTTATTGTTCATTTTTAATTTAAAATATTTCCAATTTAGACCATTAGTATATGTTTTTTATAGTAACTTTTAGTCCAATCAGTATTAAAAAATTATATTATTTCCTAAATCTGATAGCAGTTATTTTATGAAACTAATAATCTCATTTTTGTTTAAATTAACACTATTATCTATACTGTTTTAAATTATATAAATTATAAATCTTATTGTGATAAAATGTGAGTAAACACAATTTTGACTGTTGTATGAAACCGACTCCGTCCATTTTAAACGAGTATTTTTACAATTATATTAGTTAAATCATTATTAAGTGTACACTTTATTTAGTTTTAATATTTGAATCTCTCACATCTGTATTGAATAACTGTTAAAAATAAAATAAGTATTGTTATCTTAAGATTTTATAATATTATATATTTTTTTTTCCTTTTAATAAAGCCTGTATTTAATGTAGCTAAATACTTGCATTATTAAAAATATTTAGTTTTAAGGACATCCTGTGCTACAGTTACAGGATTCATCACTGTGAGGGATGAACACCATTCATTTTCATTTTTCTTATGCAATCTAATTTTTTAAGATTTGAACTTGGTTGATATTATTTAGTTTATTTTATTTATCCAATAAACTAGATGCATTGACATTTTATGAAATGAGTATCATATAACTTAATACCAAATCACTGCACATTAATTCTAAATTAAGTGCTCTTTTATCATTGTTGCTTATCAGAAA